GCAAAGGCACCACCAGCCCACGGTCTCCTCCTTTCCACGAGCCCCTCCTCCTGCGCCAACCTCCTTTCCTGGCCTTCCTTAGCCTTGGGCCCCACTCCCCTGCCCTGCCCCCTCAGATTTCTTCCTCAGGCCTCTGGACTTCTGCAGCCTCTTCCAGCTGGGTTCTGAATCGGCTGGTGTGCTGACCATTCCCCGAGGGCCCTCTTCCACCCCCCACAATCTCAGGAGGCTCTGCTCACGCTGCCCTGAAGGCAGGAGCTCCTGGGCCAGCTGCTTCAGGGCCAGGGTCAGAGATTCCCCCCACAGGCAGAGCTGGGGCCTTGACTCTGTCCCTTCCTTCCCAGTGACATCCAGACAGGGAGGGATAGCTGAGGTTGATGGGGACAGAGTTGGGTCCACAGCTTTGCATCTACCTTCTCTTCGAGAATGGGGAGAAGCTGGGGCTCCAAGAGTGTTCTGGCTCAAGTCCTGTTCTTCACACTCCAGGAGAGAGGGTCACCAAGTCATCTCCAGGTTTGGAGCCCAGTCTTCTCTCTCCTGAAGCTGGGAAGTGGAGATTTGCAGGTTGTTTCTAAGTTTCCCTGAGAAATGAGTGTGTAAATTTATGCAAGGCCATGGCCAAAAAACCCAAAACCAAACCCATTGCCATCAAGTCAATTCTGACTCTTAGTGACCCTATAGGCCAGAGGAGAACTGCCCCGTAGGGTTTCCAAAGAGCAGCTGGTGGATTCGAACTGCTGACCTTCTGGTTAGCAGCTGAGCTCTTAACCACTGCGACACCAGGACTCCAAGGCCATAACAGTCAAAATTGATTATCCTTGTATCAAAAACCTGGGGCCAATTAAAAATTGCTTTGTAGTCTGGGGTGGGAGGCAGGTTTACCCCAGTCATAGCTGCTGGCTGGACCCCTTCTGATATTTCCAGTCAATTAACACTGCAAAGCACCGAAAACAAGAAAATTCTAAGAAAAGGGGGAAACCGTGAGAAAGTGGGGGCTTTCATTTGCTCTGAGCACAAAAGCTCTGGAGTTCTTTAGATGGGCAGCACTCCCAAATCCCTCCCAAAGCACTGTAATCTCCTCTGACTCTACTCCCATTGGCTCATCACTGGGGGCACATGGATGATGCAGCAGGACCAAGGGGAGTACAGAGCTGTAACTGCCCCTTCGGGTCACCTTGTTCCTTAACCAGAACTCCTCAAAAGGCAATCAGGCACCCTACAAGGGCAGGCAGGTGTGCAGGGTATGAGGGGACAGTGGCCCTCAAGGATTAGGGGAGCCCACTTGGGTAAATGGGGTTTTCCTGGACTGAGGCGGGACATTGAGCATCCTGGGGGAGGGTCTGAGAGGCCTAGATGGAGGAAAGGGATGGTTTTTACACAAACAAGTGAACTGCATTGTTGGGGCCTGCCCAGGCATGGGGGTGGGAGGCAGGCAGAGCTCATGGGGGGATTGTAAGAGTTCTGGTGCAGGGAGACAGCCAGGGCAGAGATACAAGGAAATACATTGGGGTCACGGGAAAGGTTAGCAAGGAAGGGGAGAGAGACACCTGGAGGGAAAGGGGAGTCAGGAGGAGATTGGAGAGGAAGAGCCACGGAGAGAGGGCTCAGGGAAGGAGTGAGAGGTAGGGCGGGGGTGGTGGGATTAGGAAGGGGGTAGGGGGCAGGACCAGGAAGCCGAGGGAAGGCGTTCCGCCCTGGCAGTGAGTGGGGAGGGGACACGGAGTGGGTGACAGCACACAGGGCACTCCAGGCGGTGACCTGCGATCTTGATGGTCCAGAAGCGGCTCGGTGGGTGCCCTGCCGCCACATCTTATGCCTCTTGAAACGGCCCAAGGTCCCGACTCTCAGCGCCTAACCTGCAGCCCCTCCATTCCCCGCACCCCAGGCTCTTGCGACGGTAAGTCGGGCGTGGCCTCAGCAGCCCCGGGCTCCAGCCATCTCGCCCACGGCTATCGGTTATCGCCAGGCACTAGATCCTAGCCCTCTCGTGTCCCCAGAGCGCTGGGAAGGTGGTGGGGGAAGGGCGCTTTTTCAGCAGGGATGTGGACGGCTAAACGGGAAACCTGAGATGCATTGGGCGTAGGCTGGCCCCGCCCGCTGGGAGAGCAGGAAGCGAAGCCGCCCCTCGTTAGGGGGCGGGAGACAGCGAAGGTGACCCCTGGGAGTGAAGAGGGACGGCTGGGTGGGGCAGCGCAGAGGTAGCCCGGGCGGGGGCTGCAGGCGGAGGCTGCAGAGGTCAGACTGTCGCTTCGCCCAGTTAGGTAGGACGGACCGGGAGGTAAGAGACCTAGATCTGAGTCCAGATTCATCACCTTGAACAAACCATTTGCCCTCTTGAAACCACATTTTCTTCCCTGTAGAAGGAGCGTGTGGGAGGCGAATAGACCTTTCCGCTCTCCTTGCCACCTCTCACTGCTGGGCTTTACGAAGGAAAGCCGGGCAGACGGATGACTGCCAGGGCGTGGGGAAGGTGGACGGCGGTGGGTGCATAGCCCGGCAGCAACGTGGTCATGCATCCACTAGTGTGGGCGCCTTTCCCTCAGTTATGCAGGTCACGAGCACACGTGGCCGTTCTGGATCTAGCCCCCTCCTTTGCGGATCCAAGGCGCCCCCAAGCAGCCCAGTAGTAAGTAGGGTGGGGCTGGCACTCCGCTTCAGGCCACATGCGGGGCGGAATGGGAGACAGCTGACTGGGTGTCCTCGGGGTCCTGCGGGCTGGGGACCGCCCCACCCCCAACTCCCGTAGCTTCCTCGGGCCACCCACGCAGCTCGGGAGCCCTGGGAAAGCGGGAGAACTTGGGACTCGGTCTGTCCCCAGGGGGCGCTGCGCTCCCACGACCCAGACGCCCTCCCTGCCTCTGTTTAGCGTCTTCTGGCGGTGAGGCAGCCTTTCCGTGGCCCTGCTCCCCACACAGAAAAGTGTTTATCCTGGTCAAATCAGGTTCAAATGCACCAGAGGAATGGCAACACCCCCCGGCCGGGGCAGTACCCGCCGGGAGAGTGGAGGAAGGAGGCAGCTGCATCCCTTGGGGATAGAAGGGGTGTTTTTCTCTCTGGCTAAATTTTGTCTTAAGTTTGGTAGAAAGGGCTTCCTAAGGTGACAGGCTGTATTGGGGCTTTAAGATCTGGAAACCGGTTGATCTGGTTTGGTTCAGCTTCCACTGCTTTCCAGGGGCACTGTCGCCAGTCTGATTTCAGGAAGGGGACCTGTTACCTGAAGCAACTCAAGGGGCTGAAGACCTGAGCTCTGCCTTTTAGTGGCTGCCTGATCACAGTTCACCTCTCTGGGCTGAACTTCATCTGCAAAGGAGGGTTCTGTTGGTATCCACCTCACGGAGTTGTCAGGATTAGCCTAAGTACTCACAGCTTCTAGCTAGTGCCTAGCGCGCCTGGTAGGCAAAGGGTAAATGGAAGCTCTGGCTGGGCTTGTTGTTGTTAAGTGCCATTTAAGTTGATTTTGACTCATAGTGACCCCATGTGATGGAGTAGAACTGCCTTATAGGGTTTTCTTGGCTGTAATCTTTACGGGAGCAGGTTGCCAGATTTTTCTCCACTGGGTGGGTTTGAACCACCAACATTTTGGTTAGCAGCTGAGAGCATAACTATTGTGCTAGAGCTAGCTAAAACCCTCTGAGGTCTGGGAGCCAGCAATTGTCTCCCCCATCGTGGGCCCAGCCCTTGTTTAGGTTAGTGGAGGAGAGGAAAGTGGTGGAGGGGAGTGGTGGTAGGTGAATCTTGGGATCTGAGCTCTTTGCTCGGAGGCCCAGCCTGCCCTAGCACAGCCATCCTGCTTCCTAGCAGGGGCACTCCCCACCCTCACTCCCACCGCAAAGATGTTGAAACTGTCGTGCTCCCTGTCATTGAAGCAAGACCTGGAAACAGAAAAACCTACGAGTGGCCCGGGTCCAAGGTGGCAGTTCCGCAGTGCCAAGGGGGCCAGCAACTATGAGCCAACAGAAATCAGAAAGATGCCTTTGATGGCACCATCAAGTTAGCAGGGAGGCCTGCAGCTTGGGCAGGGAGTGAACTTGGTGAGTAGAGGAAGGGCTGGGGGTGGTTGGGCCATACTCTTGTGGGTGCTGCTCCCCAAATGGTCACTCCACTTCTCTGCCTGCTCAGAGATGGCTGCCTTCCTGGGCTTGTGATTGCTGTGGGGAGCTGGCCCCGAGCCCACAGTTAGGAAGAGTCATGGACTGAGCATCCCCTGAACATGCCTAATATAGCCATCTCAGGCTCTGTGTTCCACTCTGCCTCGTCCCCCCTGACAGTGGCTCCAGCTGGTGACTCCAGGCAGCAAGGGTGAGCATCAGGGCCCTGGGTGCAGTACAGAGGTGGCTGTAGCCATTCACAGCTAAGGTTTGTATATATTATCAAAATCTTATGGAAAAACAGATACACAGCTATTTATACAACAGCAGATGGGTGTGAGGAAAATGTCTGCTTTGGCATCAAACCTTCAGGTCCAGCTGCTGTCTGTCCCTCTCCTCCCCTCTGGAGCCCATTCCCCACCAGGCACTGTCCATCCAGGGCAAATGCCCCTGCCATGTCCTCTGCTTAGCCTGGGCTCACAGAGGGAAGGGTTGGGGGTATCCTCAGCCTTCCTCACTTCCCTCTGAGGCCCCATGCCCTCCCAATTCCTCTGCCATTGACTCACACAGAGTTCCACTGCCCAGCAGGTTTGCCCCAAGGGCTCCTCAGAGGCCTGAATCCTGGCCCTGGAGGGCAATGGGGCTGGGGTGGTGATGTGGTCCCCGCGGGCCATCTTTCCTGGATCACAGAACTTCCACGGCTTGCCAGCTACATGGGCCCAGGTCAGTGCCATCTTCTCAGTGACATGCTTAAAGGACTCTTGTCCAGAAGCCTCAGCTCCAAGTAAAAGAGAAATTTTTGGAGAGCCTCAGAGACAAGAAAAGGAAAGTGAGAGGAAATAAGGCATCCTTTCTTGAGCGTGGCCCAGGTGGCAAGCTCTCCCGTGGCAGAATAGGGACATCCACAGCAGGTCAGTCAGGGGTGGGGCAGGCGGGGTCTGTGTAGCCCTGGGAGGTGAGGCCCGGCAGCCTGGTCCTACTGAAGCAGTTTGGGCACTTCCACCTGTGGGAGTAAAGCAGGGACAGGTTAGAGAAGGGAACTCGGCAGGGGCCTCTGAAATTCATCTCACCTACTTCCCTTCTGGAAGGACCATACACTAAATACCTCAATATATGTCTGTGGAGTTAATAAATGAGATGTTGACACAGAGGAACATTTTTTCTTTTCTATAAAAATTGGATATCATCAAATGACCACTGGAATTACAATTGAGATTGTCCTTTCTCTCATGGTATCTAGTCCCAAATGATGTTGTGGCGGTAGGGTCAGCTGCCACCATCCAGTCAGATAGGCAGATGGCCATGGACTTTGCCACCTAGGCAGGGCTTCCAGGGAGGTGGGGCTTTGAGAAGCAGGGCTTCCAGGAGTGGCTCATGTGTCCATGGCACTGGTTAGTCAAAGGGAGACCTCTCCCAGGGAGCAAATCTCCCAAAGGCCTTTGGGATAAACTGACCTGTAGAACTTGGCTTGTCCTGAGAGAGAATCAAGTAAAACAAAGATTATGGTGAGGAAGAGAAGACTTAAAGGAAGGGCCTGAGGCAGAACTGCTATGTAGAAGTTGCTTCTCCGTCTCTAGGACAAACAGGTTTAACTGCAGGATGGAGGAGTGAGATGTGTGGAGAGAGATGCTGAAGGAAGCTCCTTAAAGTAAGGACAAAGTCTCACCTTGAAGGGAGATATAGTGCACCTGCCTGAAGGCAGAAGGATGGATGAGATGGCCTGAAGTCCTCTGTCAACCCTGGGAGTCTGTTATTGCCTGCATCCTGATGTGAGCTCCCTCTGCATCCCTCCCCCTTGCAACCCTGCCCTCTCCTCCAAGCCCCTGCCCAGCCCCAGCCCTGTTGGCCCATGCCCACAACTACTTAACTTCTTGAGCTGCTTGAGGTTGCTAGAGCGGATGGCGGCCAGTAGCTGGTCACGGGAGTTCTTCTCCTGGGCAGGGAGGACTTTGTCTCCCATCTTCCTCTGGGTAGCTGGTGACAGTGAGTTCTTCAGGTTCTCCATGATAAGGGGGGGGGCCAAGGGAGGTGGAGGTGGGGGTGGGGCAGCTGGAGCACTCCCCTTCTTAGGCGAGTTCTTTGGAGAGGACTTTGGAGATGGTTGGGGTGAGGGCTTGGGGGAGCCCTTGGCCGGAGTGCCCACCTTGGGCACCTCCAGCAGATCTTTCTTCTGTCCGCTGGCCTCCTGTGCCTGCCTTTGCTCCTGTAGCCGTTTTTGTCGCTGCTTGTCCATGTTGCGGCTGAGCAGGTTGGTGACGGTCATTCGGGGTCCAGCCAGCTCAAAATGGTAGCCTAGCTTGAGCAGTGTGGTGTTCTCCTTGAGCAGCTTGGCGATCTCCATCTCTGTCTTGCCGCCGCAGATGTGTCGCTGGTTGTGGAAGCGGAGCTCGGTCAGCGTGTTGTTCTGGAGGAGGGCCCGGAAGATGGCCAGGATGCCTTTGCCTGTGATGTGGTTGGAGTCCAGGTTGAGGCTGGTGATGGTCTTGTTGGCTTTGAGCATGATGGCGATGGCAAAGGCCACGTGGTCATCAGCTCGTGTGTTGGCCAGGGCAAACACCTTGACCACAGTGTTGAATTCCAGAGCCTCGGTAAACCGGACCAAGATCTCATTTGTGATGCAGTCTGAGTTGTTGACATTCACCTCAGTCATCTCCGGGTCATTGTTCTTCACCTTCTCCAGAGGCTCATCAAATATGCTGGGAGCTGCTTCCTCCTCCACCTTGGCAGATCCTTCAGAGGGCTTGGTGGGGTCGCTGGGGGCATGTTTCTCTGAACTGCTTCCCTCTTGTGCTTTGGTCTTGCTCTCTTCCTTGGGCTCCTTTTCATTTTGGGACTCGTTCTTCTTGACTTTCTCACCCTTTTTCTTCATATCCGTCTCCCCACTTCCTCTTTTCACCTTCTCATCCTCTTTTTTGGTGTCTGTGTTCCTACTCTCCCCTTTCACCTTCACATTATCCTCTTGCTTGGTTATCCCCTTCATCTCCTCTCTCTTCTTATCTTTGTCTCTGCTCAAACCTGTGTTCCTGTCGCTCCCTTTCTTCTCATCTTCCTTCCTGGTGGCCATGACACTCTCCTCTCCTCTGCCATCCTTGCCTGCCTCCTTCTTGTCCACCGCAGCCCTGACCCGGCCCTTGTCAATGCCCCTGATGAGCTTCTCCTCCTTGGGCTTCTCACCGCCTTTGCCATCAGTTCCATCTTTGTCTCTTGAGAAGCTTTTCTTTAAGCCACCCTTCTTTGGCTCCTTCCCCAGGTCTGAGTCCCCTCTGGGGCCCAGGGTTTTTTTGCTGGCATCTCTGCCCCTTTCCTCTCCATTCTTGGCATCTGTCTTGGTCTCCACTTGCTTGCTTTCCTAAGAATTCAGAAAAGAAAAATAAACATGAAGAGCTGGCTGCAGAGGGAGAGGCATGAGTATGAGGACGAGCGTGAGGAGCACTTATATAACTGCCCCTGAGCCTCAGAAGGACAGTCTGGGCTTGGGAGAGTGAGGTGGACATCCCCACTGAGGACAGCATAAGAGGGCATCTGGTTCCAGCCGCAGAGAAGGGGCTGACATCAGATTCAAAGACTCAGGATCATGAGGGACCAAAGTGAACACCCGAGGAGGTGTGGCAGTTCCTTCCCCAGAAGATTCTCAGGCTCAGAATTGCCCTTCTCTGTCAGGGGTGACTTAGAAGGAATCCTTCCAGTAGGATGAACCACACTGGAGTCTGAGGCAAAAGGAAAAATCAGTAATATGATCTTATCTTTATTTAACATTTTGATACTTGGTTCATTACGGAATTTTTTACTCCTTTTGACTTTTTAAAATATAGCGTTAACATATTAGTCATCTTGATTACTGAGTTCTTTGGTGTCCCCCTCCATTTTGTGCTTGAGGTGAGTGCCGCGCTCACCTCACCCTGGTCCTGTCCCTGCTTCCAAGGGGCTAGGTCAGTGGTTTTCAGATACTGGAATTTTATAAGAAATTTGTCAAGGAAAAGAAGTTTGGGGAACCAACATGGACTTGCTAACATTTTATTTTATTAATTCAGGGTATTTATAAATTCTGCCTACCATCGTCAGGGGCAGTGGTAGAATTCTCACCTTCCAGGAGGGAGACCCGGGTTCGATTCCCAGCCAATGCACCTCAAGCTCAGCCAACACCCGTCTGTCCATGGATGCTTGTGTGTTGCTATGATGCTGAACAGGTTTCAGCAGAGCTTCCAGACTAAGACAGACTAGGAAGGAAGTCCTAGTGATCTACTTCCAACAATCAGCCAATGAAAAGCCTATGAATCAAACGGTCCAAGCTGCAACAGATCATGGGGATGGTGCAGGACCGGGCAGCGTTTTCTTCCACTGTGCATGGGGTCACCGTGAGTTGGGGGCTGGCTCAAGGGCAGCCAACAACTATCTGTCATCATCGTCTCATTGAAATAAAAAGGAACTAACCGTAAGGAGGTCAGGGAGACAGAATAAAGGACAGACTTTACATCGAATATGAATTCACAATGCTGTCTTGAGTTTTCTAGTAAAAGCTTTGCTAGGGACAAGCACCTCTCTGTGGGCAGCCCTGGAATCCCCTGGGCCAGCTGACCTGATCTGGGGCCTAGGATTCTGCAACTCTGTGTTGACCCCACAGATCTGACGAGTTGTGCAGGGAGGCTGTGGGACCAAGTCAGCAAAGCTGCCACATGCAGCAGGAGCCACCCTGCATCTCCATGGGACTCCGGCCCTTCCTCTACAATGCAGCATGAAGTCTGAAGCCATACTGAGAACCCCCATCAGAGGAGCAAGTCTGGCTTGGGAGCAGCGGGATTCCCTAAAATTAGCTATTAAACTGTCCAACCGGACAGAGACCTCAGAGCACGTCAGGCCTCAAGAAATGCTGGGATGTCCGTCCCTGAAGAGTTTTTAAAAGAGACTGTGGCCTGTGTGTTGGAGGGTTTTCTGTCTTTCAAGAGTGCCCAGTGAGGTGTGGGAAGAGGGAAAGAGGAAAGGGAAGCAGCATTCTATCTCCCTATCTGGCCCTTGTAGCCATTCCCTGCCCTGCCCTCCCGGAGGGAATGGAGATGGGGGCTGGTCCTATGGAAACATCTTGTACCTGCATCACAAACACATGCCTTTGGGGACCAGTCCCTGGGTTTATTTAGCAGCGAAAGTCCTTGGCTCTTCTGCTAGAATCACAGCAGGCAGCCAAGGGGCACAGGGCCTGGTGAGACGGGGCCTTGGAATGTACCCCTTCCCTCCTCCTGCGCCCTAGGCCCCGGGCCCAGCTGCCCTGGGGACTCATTGGCGCTGTGGTGGTGGAGCTCCTGGAGCACACTGGCTCCCAGGACACTGGATTTCACCCTTCAGATCACCCCTGAGGGATGGCGGCAGAAGTGGAGCTGACCATCCTGTACCTTGCTTTGACAGGAAGAGTGTCAGAAGAGTACGCAAATAGGCCGTAGGAGAGGAAATCTAACAGCTTAGCCCCTTCCTTGTTGTTGTCAGCTGTTATGGAGTGGGTCCTTAGACTCATGGCGACCCCGTGCACAGCAGCATGGGACCTTTATGATCTATAGTGTTTTCAATGGCTGATTTTCAGAAGTTGATCAGCAGACTTTTCTTCCTAGTCTGTCTTAGTCGGGAAGCTCTGCTAGAACGCCTTCAGCATCATAGCAACACTCAAGCCTCCACTGACAGCTGGGTGCTGGTTGTGCATAAGCTGTGGTGGCCAGGAATCAAACCTGGGTCTCCTGCACGGAAGGCGAGAATTCTACCACTGAACCGCCAGTGCTCCCTAAACCTGTTGCTGTCAAGTTGATTCTGACTCATGGTGACCCCATGTGTGTCAGGGTAGAACTGTGCTCCACAGGGTTTTCAATGGCTGAGTTTTTGGAAGTAGATCACCAGGCCTTTCTTCTGAGGTACCTCTGGGTGGACTTGAGCTGCAAACCTTTTGGTTAGCGGCCGAGCACATTAACCATTTATACCACCCCGGGGCCCCCTCAGCCCTTTTAGGACACTCTTACAGTAATCAGCTCACAGTTTGGCCAGGGAATTCCTTCTTCCCCTCTTCAAGTTCAAAGTTGGGGTTTCATCACAAATTCCTTCCCTGTCAGGAGTTTGGAGGTGAGAGCTGGGTGGAACAGCCTTTCCAGCGACTTGCCGTTCCTTTCCCCAGACGTGCCAACTGCAGGATTTCTCACAGCCCCCTGTGCATGCCCAGCCCTCTGGAGAATTCCCATGCCGCTCACAGGCCTCACACAGAGGGAAATGGAAGATCCTGAGAGATTGCAACCAACCAACATCACACAACAAGTTCAGGAAAACCGGTTTCTGATCTCACTAGCAGCCATGAGTAACCTCCTCTGACCTTCCCTGTAGGGGCAAAGGCGCCACCCTCGGTGGGCCTCGCAGCCCTCTGGGTGCCTGGGAACCCCTGCTGCCAACACCACCTCCCACACCACTGCCTCCTCCCAGTCCAGCCAAACCAGCCCCCTTTAGAGCTGGGACTCCCAGTCAGAACCTCAACCCGCCCCCAGCCAACATGCTTTGCCACGTTTCAACCCTCTCTCTGCCCTGACACCGGGTCCTGCTCTCTCTCCCTTGTCCTCACCCAGGGTTACTCCCACTCGCTCCTGGGGTACTTCCCCCACACTGGGGTCCTAGTTGGCTTGGATCTGCCATGTGTTATTCCTGAGGAGAGGTGCCAACCCTTTAAAAAGAACCTAATGAAAAACAGGCTGGGGGTGGGGGGAAGGGCTGATTAATCACCAGTTCCCTCCAAATAGCCAGGAATGAATGGGGCTGGGGCTTGCTGCAGCTTGTGCGTGTGGCCGGAGAGCTCAGACGTTGCCTTAAAAGGAGAAGGAGCCCAGAGTCCTCGCAGGGCTGGGATTTCTGTTGAGCCGAGCTCCTCGGCACATAGCAGAGCTGCCTCCTTCGTGCTTATCTGAAAGGGAGTCCCGGCCAACCTCTTTTTGCTTCTAGAACTGCTGGTGCATCCTGATCACCTCTGGAGGTTATTTTGGCCCGAGTTCCTGTCTCTAGGCCTCACTCTACCGTTTGTCCCTTATAGCAAGAAGGATTTAGGTTAGATATAATGCAGAACTTCCACAGAGTCAAAGTCCACAGGTCTCAGGATGAGAGAGCTAAGCAGCAATGTTTTTTCCCCTTGAAAAAAGCTTTAGGATTAGGGGAAACCCACACAGGTCGTTTCAAGAGCCCTGCACGGAGGCGGGGGAATGGAAAGGATGACCTCTGAAAGACTAACCACCTGTGACATGTCGCAGGAACCTAGCTGTCAGGCTGAGGCAAGAAGCAGCTCTCTCCTCCCACCGCCCCCAGGCCTATGGCCACATGATGGTGCTGTCCAGTCACCTGACTTAAGATCCAAGTGAAATCCCTTTGACAGGTTGAGACGGGCAGTACACAGCATCCGCTCCTTACCTTGGGCCCTCTGATAAACCACTTTCTCTAGGAAGTCTTATCTGATTAAAGAGAGGCGAGAACATTTCAGCAGCTCCATTGCCAAAAGAAGGGAGGAAAAATAATTGTTTGTCTATCCACAAGTCCCTTGAAAATGAGAATGGGCTGAGGGCAAGGACCACACCGTGTGTGTGCCGCAGGCAGCCCCAGCCCACGGCTGCCCAGTGAGCGTGTGCGGACCGTCCCTGAGGTCATCTCTCTCCCCCTCTGCAGAGCAATCCCCAGGTGGCTGCAGGGCAGGGGTCTGCACACTCTCCCCAGAGGACAGCCCCAAGGGGAGAGGGAGCCTGAGTTGGAAGGGCAGGGCTGCTTTGTTTAGAGGGTTCATGTCCCAGCCACTTGCTGGGAGGGGACAGAGGAGAGGACAGCAGGGGTGACTGGCAACTACAGCAGCCCTCACGTGTGATACCACTGGTTGAACTCAGAAGCATTAGTTCCTTCCCAGAAGCGCAAGGCGAGGCAGTCAGATGGCTCCACCTAGTCTCTTGCTGTGTCCCCAGGGCTGCTTGGTGAGGCCCCTGGAGGCTCTGTCTGCAGGCTCCCAGCTGGGGGCAGGGACTCTGAGGTCCCCCGCTCTGCATGTGGTAGACTCTTCTCCTGGGCCTCAGCTGGCTGAAGTCCCCGAGGAGATCCGACAGCCTTGGTGTGGGGTCTGCACTCACTAGGCAGCACTTCACCTTGGCCTGATCTGTGGCCTCCTGGTCAAGATTCTATTACCAGGAAAGCACCAGGGAAATACGCGGCACCTCCCGAGCCTGCTGTCAGTGCCCACACCCCTCATCACCTCTGCTTCCTGGCCCTGCAGCCATGCCCACCCAGCCCCCACTTTCTCATTCGCCTGCTTCTCCCATGAAGCCAGCCCTGCAGAGGGCCGGCACCCTGGCCTCACTTCCC